TCAATTGCAGGCTGATTTGCAACTATTGTTGGCAACATATGAGCTTCTATTTCAGTTTTGTAGTTAGTTACACTAGATGATATAACTACGTAGACTCTTTTTTTTGAGCACTTGTTTTTCTGACCGACGCCACTAAGATTCAGCGAGCTTGATAATTGAGTTAGCCCAAGTTTTCGTGCTGCTCGTTCTGTTATGAGGTTCACTTGTGAGCCTGAATCCAGTAATGCACGCATCTTGCATTCCACGCCCTGAGAATTCAGAACCTTCATTATTACAGTTGCTAGTAAACCATAAGATTTCTTCAACTTTACGGGTCTACTTGTTGTAAGCGTAGCTGCTGCATGCCCACCTAATTGGTGTGAATCGTTATTTCGCGATGAGTCAGCAGTGACCTGAGACTTGCCATTGGCAGCATAAAGTTCATGTAAAGTTGTATGATGCCTTCTTTTGCATTTCAGACAACCCTGAGATGGGCATTCTGTTGAAAAATGGCCCGAGCGCAAGCAATTTACGCAACGTTTGGCACTGAGAATCATATTTCTGCGAATTTCCGGAGGGTTTTTCAAGTAATTTTTACAAGTGGAGGTTTTATGATCTCCCTTGCATGCTATTCATTTTAACATTTCATTTGTAGTATTTAAACACGCCTTGTTAATGTTCTTGCCTCCAATTGCCTCTAATGCTTGGAAGCGAAGTTCTAAAAATACCAGAAATTCATTTAACTGTTGGATTCTTCGTGGATCCTTCACGTTCTGTTCATAGAAGCTGTGTGTTATTGGATCCAATTTCTTCGTCAAAATGAAAAGTATTATTGGATTCCAGTTTTCGATGTTGATTTCAAGATTTTTGTGTCCAAGAACACACTCAGAAGTTGTATCATGGAGTCGTTTGATAGCTTCAGAGCTTTCAGATGTTATAATTTGTTGAGAAATAAGTTTTGCAATAAATGCATTCACAAGAAGCCGCTTATTATCGTAGCGCTGGCAAAGTAAACTCCAGGTACTACTAAAATTATCCTCAGATACTGTTAAATGAGCAATAAGACGTGCTGCTTCTCCGTCCAAATTCAATTTTAGATAAAACATTTTTTGGCAATTCGCAAGTGATTGTTCATTTACCACTTCATTGAACAAGTCGCGAAATTGCCTCCATTCCAAGTAGTTCCCACTGAACCTTGGTATTATTACTCGTGGTTAGTGCATTGATGCAGATGTTAATGATGAGGTATGCGAAGACGTTGAAGCAAGTTTCAACTCTTCCACCTTTAAGGACATATTTTGGACTTCTCTTTCTAAAGATATAAACCCTTCTTCATCATATCCAATAGTTGCTGGATTGGATTCTAATTCACAAATGCTGTAATGGAGTTTCTCAAAATGGGCCCATAAGCGAAGAATAGAATCTTTCAACAGTACCTTACGTGCTAAAGGTATGTCCGTGGTGATGTTAGCGTCAATTAGTTGACATTTTATAGTTTTGTCAAACTCTTGTTGGCGTCGCATTATTAGAGATACTTTATTGGAATCACATGAGCTGTTTTTCGTAGCTATTACTTGTGCTTCTGCATTCTTATTAGTGGCGAATGAGGTTGCGTTTGATAACAATGTTATTTGTTCACTAAAAGTGGCTTCGTATTGTTCCCAAATTTTCAATACCTGTTCATAGAAATTCTTAGTGAAGTATTTATGCGACTTGTCTTCCGAACATTCTTTCTGGAGGGTATTATCATTGATTTCGAATTGTTGCCATGCCTTCTTGAGATCCTGAAGTCGTTTTTCAAAATATCCCTGGAGTCTATCCTATCCCTGGAGTCCTTTTTGTAATTCCTGATAATTACTTCGATCTCAGTTGCAATCGTCCTTTGAGCTTGCACGATTTTCTCGATGTTATCCATTGTCCAAGTATAGAAAACAAGAGCGAAACGAGTTTATTGAGCGAAACGGCTTATTATTTTTTATTAGCGAGTTTTTAAACGCGAAAACGCGACGGACTACGCGATCAATCCTTTACACTAGGGGTCACCAATAAAAACGTATCAATAGCTTAGATGCTAATGATAGAATTGAGTGCAGACGAAACGTCGACTCAATGGATCTTGAAGAGGAGAAACTTCAATTCAAGTGCGCGAACTTTGGATTGATTCCTTAAAATTAAACAAGCAGTTTGCTAGTTAGAAACCTTTATTGTAATGAATAATGTATTTGCAATTTACCTCTTAAATATAAGTGATAAATTGACGATACGCATATTAACAATAATGC